ATAATATATACAGTATTTTACTTGTTTATTGTTTACTTATTTAGTAAAATATATAGTATTTTAGATTGTGCTAAGTGCTATGGAGAAAAATCAATCCAAGTAAGCAGGATAGGAGTGGTGAACGCTGCTCTTTACCCAGGATGGTCAGAGAAGGCCTCTCTGATAAGGTGCCATCTGAGCAGAGGAATGCAAGAAACCAGGACACCAGCCCTGCAGATACCTGGAGGGAAAGAGAGTTCCAGGCTGAGGGAACACTGAGTGCAAAGGCCCTGGGGGAGGAATGTGCTCGGTTTATTCTAGGAAGAGCAAGAAGGCCGGCGTGGGAAGAGGAGGTGGCGGGGAAAAGCAGGAAATGAGGTGAGAGAAGCAGTCAGGAACCACATCTTGTCGTGCTTCGTGCTTCGTAGGTGAACGTAAGGGCCTAGGCTTTTACCTGAACAAGATGGGAAGCTATCAAAGCGCCCTGAGCAAGAAGGTGTACGAGCTGATTCATGTTTTACAAAGAGCACTACAACAGATGCTGTGTGAAAACAGCCTGGAGGTGGGGGCAAGAGAAGTTAGGAGGCTATTACAACCACTTGAGAAAGAGATGAGGGCAGCTTCGGGCACAGTGTACGTGGCAGAGGTAGGGAGAAGTGGTCAGATTTTTAACACATTCTGAAAGTAAAACAAATGAGATTTCCTGGTATCTTCACAGAAGAGGTAGTATTTTAGCAACGTCTTTAAGGGTGAGTAGATGCTCGCCAGACAGAAAAGGGGATGAAGATACTCCAGACCCAGGGAAAAACAGGCACAAAAGCATGGAAGGATGAACAGCAGGATCCTTGCAAAATGGATCCTCACCAAAATGTAAGTTGTAAACTGTGAGACCCGTGCTCCAAACCCTCTCACGTCGTCTTCTCTCACCCAGAGTCACAGTGAACGTTCTCACAGACGGCAAGTGCCTGTATGATCGGGTTATTGCTCTCTCATCTCATCTCCTTCTGCTCTCCCCAACTCTCCCACATCACTCCAGATATGTTAGGCTCAAGTGCTTTTCCTCAAACATATCTTAGAGGCTTTGCTGTGCCCTACATCCAGAACATTCTTCCCACGAGTATCTACATGGCTTGCTCCTACACATCCATAAGGTCTTTGTTCAAACGTCACCCTAAGAAGGGCTTCTGTAATCACCGTTTGCAATCCGCCACTTAAGAGTGGTATTCCCTATCCCCCTTATTTGCTTTATTTATCTCCATACCAGTTTTCCCTTCTGAAGTTTATTGTGTGGTTTTTTTGTTTTAATTTCTACTCCTTTTCCCTCCACCCCACCCCATAAGAAATAAGCTCAAAGAAGGCAGGAATCTGTTGTTAGTTTTTACAACTTCATTTCTAATGCCAAAAACATTACCTGACACAGAGTGGGTGAGCTAAATACATTTAATTAAGTAATGAATTCATATGGATCATGTTGAGTTGGATGTACCTGCAAGACTAGGTACAGGTAGAGCCCACCCAGGCAGAACCACCCAGTAGGCAGTTGGAATTGGAGCACTGGAGGTCACAAGGCAGAGCAGGGATGGAGACAGAGGTCTGGGGTCACTGGGATAAAAGTACAGCAATGCCAGAAGCACCAAGAGATACAGTAGGATGGCACTTAAAGGTCAGACCCAGGAGCCAGACAGCCTTGGCTCAAATCCTGGTCTTGCTATAAATCTTGAACAAAGTTTTAAACCTCTCTGTGCCACAGTTTCCTCATCTCTAAAATGGGGTTTTAAAAAAACATGCCCCACAGAGTTGTGTAAGATTTAATTGAGGTAATACATGTAAAGCACTGAGAACGTGCCAGAACAACCTGGCACATGGAAAGCGCAGAATAACTGAAAGCAGGGGGGAACACCGAGGAGAGTGGCAATTTCTCTGGGTAAGAGGGGTGGCATTCATGTATCTGGAAGCCAGAGTTTGTTTTCTATGTAATTCCTCATTTCCTTGTGCTCAGTGGTGAACCAAGAGAGGTTCTCTTGGCTTTTCTGCTTTGAGTTTGTTGTTGTTGTTTCCTTCTATTTGTGTTCTCTACGGTCTTATCAGAAGAAACCAAAAAACGTCCCTGAAGGTGTTTTGAATTTGAGCCTGGCACACTGGCAGGCATACAGTACAAGAGAAAGAGCATGGCCTTCAGTCAGATAAATATGGGCCTGAACTCCAGCTCCACCACTCAGAAACGTACCTAACCTAGTCTCTCCCGACTGCTAAAGCAGGAATGATAATGTCCACCTCCAGGCTGAAGAAGAGTAGTTGCTGAATATATATTTGCGGAATGAACGAATGAGGCTGCTGTGAGGATTAAATGTGAAAGCATTCATAAAACATGGCGCACAGGCCCCGGCACACGGCAAGTCCCTGACACAACATCAATGAACAGACCCAATATGGAAGCTGCAGAAAGTCTTGTTTTTATGACTGGCAGCTGGACTGGCGTTCCTGAGGCTAGGGCCTGTCTAAGGGACTCAATGTCAGATCTGAACTTTCTATTTATTCATGTCATTAAAAAGCATTTTCACTTCATCTTTGAAGAGAACAGACTGACTTTACTAAGGTTTTGTTGAAGCACTCAGACTTATTATTAAGGTGCACTTAAAGTGATTAGATACTGGTATCAGGTTTGTTGTGGGTCTTGGAAGATAAAAGAAAAGGTTTGATAGTTGTTCTGTTTGCCCTTGAGTTTCCTTTCATCCCCCAGTGTACGGCTGGCTGGGAGCGCAGTGGGCTGATAACCTTTGTGTTTAATTCTTCATGTACTACTCTCACCACACAAAAGCTGAAATGGCTCAGCAGTTGCTTTATACAATGTGTGTAATCATGTACCAGAAGGCTTATATCTACGACAATATTAGTAAGGATTTAAGAACTGATTGCATTTTGTGGGTTTACCTGTTTTAAGGGTACTTTTTAAAATTATTTTTTTTCTGATTACAAAAGAATACATGTTCATGCAAGATAATTTGGAAAACTAGAAAAGCTCAAAGGAGAAAACCCTACCAACTCTGGGATATAACGTTTCTGTATGCATCCTGCAAATCTTTCCAGATGCCACCTCCCTGGGGAGGAGCATACGTATGTAAAAACAAAATTCTAACCATACTAAACAATATTATATAATTTGCTTTTTTAAATAACCTAATGCATGTGTTAGCTTACTCATCCAATCAAGGAAGCTACTTCAACACCTACGAGGTGCCAGGCACTGTACAAAGTACAGAGGATGAGGGAGACGAGCGTATAAAAAAATCACTACAATAAACTGAGATAATAAAGGGACACAGAATACACATAAAGATAATCAAGTACTACAGGTGCAGACAAGGGGGAACAGAGACAACTCTCCGGGCTGAAGGGGTGTCAGGGAAGCGTCCTACAGCCGACGACACGTGAGCTGTGACTAACGGGTAACAGAGACGTTCGCCAAGGAAGGGAGAAGGAGGCACGCCAGCAGAGGGTGCAGCAAGAAGGGCCCAAATCTGAAACTAGTCTGAGGTACCGCAAAAATCCACTGTGCGTAACAAGGCGAAAGAGTGGGGGAGATGAGGCTGGAAGTGCAGGAGCCAGGCAATGAAGAGCCATGTAAGATCTGAAGCAGGGGGTGACAGGCTCAGATTTACGTCTTGGTTAGAAAACACACTGCAGCTTTATGGATTAAGAATGAGGCGCAAAGAGGAAAACTAGAGCAACCTATAAAAGGACTGATCAGGTGAAAGATAGTAAAGATCTAATGAGAAGGGAACTGACAGTGAACTGGAAGTCAGAGACCTGGATTCTAGACAGGTAAACTCCTTCTTTCCTCTCTTCCTTCCATGATTACCGAGAATCAGCTACATACAAGCACATGCTAGGCACTGGAGAAACAAAGGTGAGGTGGTCCAGTTCTCATACCCCAAGGGCTTATTTCTAGTGGGAAAGAATAGGTGAAAATGTACTATTTTTGCTTACCCCGCGTGCCTTCCTCTCTTTCTTTGGGAACAGGATCTAATTTTCCTTTGGGAAAACCATCTATCTCTGACTCACAGTCCATGCAGTCTGAGTGGGAGTGGTCACACCCCAACTCTACTCCAAGAGCGGGTTCATGAACTAGGCCAGGCACACAGGAGCATCTTACACCCCTGAACACAATGACTGGTTCAGGGACGGGCACATGACTCTAACCAGGCCAACAAAATCGCTCATGGAGGAATCAGGGAGAACCAGGAAAAAACACTACCTTCCTCTAAGATCCCATGTGCGTAAGACCACATACTTCTTGGGCTGTCAGAGTCCTCCTGTGCTATCAGGTGGGAGGGAGCCTATCCAGCACGAAGTCACACAGAGGAAAGCCAAGGCAAGAAACAGAGAAAAGCTGTGATCAAATGACATCTTTGAGAAGCTGGATTCAGCCATGTACTCCTAGACATCTAAGCTAAGTAAGTTAATATATTCCCTTTTTTGCCACAATGTGTTTGTTGGGGTTTTTGTCACTTGTAATTGAAAGAGCACTGACTAATTCAGGCAGAAAGACACAGAATCCCATAAGTAAAATACAACGTGATAGGTACAATAGCGGGATTTATAAGGAACAAGTAGCACAGAGCAGAGTGCAGTCAACTCTACTGGTAGGTAAGCTGAGGAAACTCTCACAAAGGAGGCAATGTTTAAGTGAAGTCTTGAGGAATTAGCCGTCTGGCAACAGGATAAGGGGCAAAGGATATTCTGTGCAGGAGAAACAGAATGAGCAGAGGCAAGGAAGAAGGAAAGAGCATGGAATGTGTGGGGAAGAAAAATCAGTCCACTATGCTAACGCACTAAGTTCACAGCAGAAAGCAGATTGCGAGGACTTTATCTGTTCTGTGGGTGATGAGGAGTCACTGGATGGCCACATCAGACCATTTCATCTCCTGTTTAACTTCTCTAGGCCACAGTGGCTCCACAGGTAAAATCAGGCAGATCAGAACAAATCACTACAAATGGATAAAAATATTAAAAGATCTTACCTGCTGATAGAATTCATCATCTTTGGGGGTCAGATAGGGAAGCCAAGTGTCTTCAAGCTCTTCAAGGAGCCTCAGTTTCTGTTTAAAAATAATAATGATTATAGGTGACTGAATATAAGGTGACCCAAAATATAAGACAATCCCTTATTTTTCCAAGAAGAGACTACCAAAACAAATTTAGCCAATTTAAAAGTATAAACTTTTAGAGATAGAAACTAGTCAAATGCCAATTATAAGACATATTAATTTAATTACACACATTTAAATTACACATTGTATAAAGCATTAATTTAGAAATAATGATATTATTCACTTGCACATTTCATGAAACAATCTGATTCACTCTTGACATGTGTCTTTAACATCAGGGTCTTTCTCATCACTAGAGTCACCGTTTGAGTGATCCAATACAGTTTTCCAGAGCAAATCTTCCTATCTGTATAACCTGCTTGAGACACAGCAGTTTTTGACTCCTCCTATGATACTATCACTGGAAAGAGCAAACCAAGCCAAAGCATCCATTTGCATAACATCAGGATATTTGGAATATTTATTCATTCTGTAAACATTTATTTAAGATCACATCCACTTACACATTACTTTTTAAAAGCGATCTTTCATCTCTAGAATAATTACTAAATCTGTGTTAAGCATCTTTGCTTCTTTTCCAATTTTAAGAAGAAATTTTTTTAAGCATCCACAGCTAGCACTGTCTGAGGCCATTTCAGGATACTAGTCTTCCAAGATAGTACTTTGCTGTTCAAACAAAGAGGACCCCATATTATAAAGTACTTCACAAGGAATCAAATACATATAAGGTAATGCCCTCCTTCTGAGGGATTTTTTTCAAAGAATATCTGACCTTATATTCAAGCATATATTGGGTGTGTGTGTGTGTGTATGTGGCATATAAATGGCATATATGTGCGTGCACATACAACTTATCTATATACTATAGAAATTTTCTGAAATAAAAAAATTAGAAAACGCAGAAACAGCTGATTTTCAAATAAAAATGCAATAAAATGCATCATCAGGCTGTTGTCAGCCACCAAGCACCTTTATAAGAATTAGAAAATAGTGCGCCTTGCTCTGGGTCGATGTAGCCCTACTCCATAGGGCATGGCTTGCTGACCATAAACTGGATTTTAGCCCCCACCTGGTCCAATAGGCACTGTTTTTATGCAGTGAACAACCTGCTCAACCAGACATGGTGGCCCTGAGTATCATCCTTCCCCACCCCAGGAAAGCAGCCTTCTCTCACAAACCCATCACAGAGTAGTTCAGAGCAAACACCCTTTTGAGCAGAACTCAAATTATTTCTGGATCTTTTGTATAATTATCCAAAGTGAATAAAGAAAAAAAGGGAATAGAAATTTAGCCACTAGTTTAGCCACTAGAGAAAAAAAAAGTAAACTTTACTCTTCTGCAAAATTGTAATCTGTAAAGTTTTCTGCTTTGACTGTAGGTATTTTGTCATCTATAATGATAAGACTGGCTTACCAGTTAAACTATAAACAGTTTTCCTTTACACAGGACCTATAATACCAATACAAACCACTCGTTTAGATAAATCATTGGTTAAGTGGTTTATCTGTTTTCAACATTAGCCATTATTTGGGACATGGAAAGAACTAATGATATTTCCATGCACATACTTGCACATTTATGCACTCCATCATGAATTTAATTAAAATCTATACCTCAATTTTCACTTCAAGCTCAGGAAAGCCTGCATTTTCCTATGAATCTTTTACCAGTCCTTTTTATAGACAGAATATTTAAATGCCAAAAAAATTAACCCATTTTCAAAAGCCTTGAATAATTCAAATGCACCTGATATCTCCAACCTTGAAATGGCTCCACCTTAGAAATACCACCTTAAGACCTCTTCAGGAGAGTCCATAAGGCTACTTCATGCATAAGAAGCTTGTAACTTTAAAAAAACTTTTGGTCCCTTTTGCCTTGGTGAAATCAATCAGGAACCAATATTACATTAAATTGGTAGTTCATGAACATCACACATTCTTCAAAATTAAGATTGCTTTAAAAAAGGCAAAGTCACTCTGGGCATGAGTATGGAGAAAAAAGCCCTCTCACACTCAGGAGTGCAAAACAGTACAACACGGATGGAGGACAACTGACAATACCTATCAAAATGCAAATGCATGTCCCCTTTGCCCCAAAAATCCTACTTCTAAGGATTTTTTTCTACAGATATACCTGTACCATGTTCAGAAGAACGAATGCAGAAATTTACTCACTGGATGGATATTTGTAGAACAAAAGCTTGGAAACATACTAAAAACCATTTGATTGTACACTTTAAAAGGGTGAATTTTATGGTATGTGAATTATCTCTCAACTAAACAAAAAGACTAGAAACAATCCAAGTGTCTCTCCACAGAGGACAGTTAAATAAACTATGGTATATCCACTCAATGAAATATAACACAACACTAAATAAGAATGAGGAATCTCCCTGTTAGGGAAATAAAAAGCTCTCCAGAATATATCCGGAAGTAAAAGGCAATGGACAGAACATCTGCTTGTATTTGTATACAGGAACATAAAGGATATGTGACAAACTCAAAGTGGTTGTGTCAGGGGGAGAGGTGGGAAATGACTAGAAGGGGACGGGGGCAGGACAAGACTATTCAAAATATTCCATTTATATTGTTTTGATTTTTGAACTATGTAAACATATTGCCTATTCAACATATTACCCTTATCAACTCAAACATATTACCTATTAATTCTTAACATGGAATTCAGTATAAACATGGAGACGACATGATTTTTGGCTTTGTTTTAAGAAGTGCATACTTTTATGATGCACAATAAAGTATTTATCTGGAAAACTATCACAGACTAGCACACTAAAGAGTGAAGAGGGATAAAAACAGCTCTGACAATTTCTTTGTGTCAAATGCCAACCAGTCGGTAAACACACACTCCATTAAAATGCACTCTGGAGCGGAGGCAGAAGGCGCTCATGTTTGCTTGTCAGATCCGGCTACCTGCTGCTCTTTGGCCTGATGTACAGATAAACGCACACAGCCAGGCCCTGCAGCACACTGCTCTGCTCACATGCTTTGCTGTCACACTGGTGTCAAATACATCAAGCTGGTCACAAATGGCACACAGAAAGCCAGGGAGAGTGCACAGCCTTGGCTCTCCCAGCTGGCAGGAGGAGCAGATGAAGACCCTTCCCTGAGGGCTACACCCATTCTCACAGCTCTAGAAAGTAAAGGAAACACAGACACAAGACCTTAAGTAAAACACACCCAACTCAAAACCATAAAGGTTTGAAGTCGGATGTCAGAAACTTGAACCCAAAGCCTCTGACCCGCTGGGAAAGGTTAAGCTATATCTGAGCTTGCCTATCTTGTCAAACAGAGATACGGTTTGAGAATCTTACAGTAATTACACAAAAAGATTAACTGATTAAGACTCATAACGTGAGACTGTATCTCACCTGCAAATGAAGTGTATTTCCCGTCCCACAGCCTCGTCAGATTGTGCTGCTAACAATTCTTATTCTTTATCTGTTTTTCATTTCCCACATAATACTTTTTAAACTATGAATCATATTTTGTCAGGTTCAATAAAAATTTAATTTTGTTGTCAAAGTCTTTTCAAAATACAATCACAAATAAAGGCTTATGGAATGTTCAGTGTAAAAATAATCACCTGGTCTTCTGAGGATTTCAAAGAATAAGTAAGAAAATTGACCTAGTCCTTAAGCAGGGCATGAGTAAGGAAGACCTCCCCAAGGGAGACGCAATAAAACTAATACCAGAAGGATGAGGAAGAAGTAGGTAAGCCAAAAGAAGTATACATAAATATTTCATATACATATGCCATATTTGCTTTAAATATGGCCTTAAATAAAAAGAAAAAAAGTATTTCAACAAACTCAGCATTTGCTTTCCTACACTCACTGAAAATATGGCAAGGTAAAAATAAACAGAATTTGGAGGCAAGAGTAGAATTTGAGTCCAGACTCCATCACTTCCTACGCTTGGTACCACACCTGAATCAACCTCTCCGAACCTCAGTTTACTCATCTGCAAAACACTGTTTCACAGGGTGTTGTGAAGATGAAATGAAATTAGTCAATATATTAGGGCATTTTAGAAAACATATATTATGCAGATATTAGGCAAACGGCATTCAAATGGAGGGAGGGGCGTATAACAAAGCATGTGCTAAAAAAGCGAAGCTCTTAGTTCTCGTGCCAGTTCTACCAGTCTAGATATATGATTTGGGACTAGTTTCTTATCCCCCGTGAGGTGTAAATGAAGTAGCACACAGAGAGATCTAAGAACAGTACCTAGCACATCAAAAACCCTCAATACACTTTGGAAATCAGTTGTTGTTACTGTTATTTACTCATTTCTGGAAAAGAACAGTTTTATTTACTAGTTATGAGTTATCTGTAAAAAGAACCTATGTGTAACCCATCAAACTATACTTTATGCCATAGAGTAAGGCTATATGAGAAATTCAGACATTAATTTGCCTAGGTGAACTACAGCACAAACGTATAAAAATACTCCATAAAAGTTTATATATATAAAATGTTTCATTTGACTATACTGGTGATAAAAATAAAAATTATTGTAAAACTTTAGAACAGATAAAGAAACTGGGCCTACCCAGAGATATAAAGTGACTGGCAAGAGATTACACTGCTGGTCATAAGAGCATCACATCTCATATTCTCATTTCCCAAGTACAAGGTCATTTCCACTACATTCCACCACACCAACCCTGAGGCAAGAGAAATTTTATCTTTCAAGAATGTTCAATTTTTAACTTAAAAAGAATACATAAACACAAAGATTTTAAATAATTTTAATTAAAATCAATCCCATTTTTAAAATTTAAAACAAATGCTTATAATCACTACTTTTGGACCCTCAAGTCCTAGCTGCTTTGGTAGCTCCACAATGTTTTCAAGATTTTTTTAAAAATTTATTTAGCATTTCTTGTTCAATTTCCAACAACGGGAGCCTATGCTGTAACAGACCAACAGCCTAACCAAAGTCAAAAACCTTCTAATCCACAAAACA